GGGGAGGAGGGAGGGGAGGCCGAGCCAGCAGCCACGGAGGTAGGGGAGCTGGGCGTCTGTCTGGCGGGGCGCTGGGCAGCCGAGGACTTCCTGCGGAAAAGGAAGGGGAGCAGAGTGTGAGGGGGGCGGCTGCTCGGCAGGGCTGGGGTCCAGAGGGCGCTAGCTGACCAGCTGTGCAGCACCTGTCCCAGCAGCCACGGGGCATCGCCATCCAGGTCTGAGGCCAGCCCTCGGTCCCAAAGACAGGCTGGTGACGACATGGCGCCTTGGCCTGAGGCAGCTGGGGTGAGCCTGGCCAGCGAGCCCCAGCTCCACGCTGACCCTGTTCTCACCTGCCAGTGAGCCCACTCACAGGACAGGTGAGCACAAAGGGGGGCCCCAGCCATGAGCACCACCCAGGATCCTCCCTTTCCTGGGGAGTGGGAGTGGGGTATCTGAGAAGCCCCGACCTTCCTCCGTGGGGCAGGGACTGGGCAGTCCCACATGGGCCACTCTGGGCCAGGGATGTCCTCAGCTCTGTCCAGCCTGGGGATGTGGGGTAGGGCGCCTCTGGAGGTCACTGATCCTCAACTTTGAACTGAGGTTTCTTTTTGGGTCTGAAGCCTTAAGAGCTGGGAAGAGGCCTAGAGGCTCCCCCGCAGGGTCCCGAGGGACGGCTTCCGGCCCACCCCCAGAGCTTACACTCGCAGCCCCCGCTGTCCCCGTCACCTGGGTCCGTGGCTGGAGGAGGCCTTGCTCCTGGGGGGCGCGCTGCCGGGCTCCGGGGTGGGGGCTGCCCGCCGGCCGAGGCGCGTCTGGCCTCGGTGCAGCAGCTGACACTGGGCGCCCCGGGGGCAGAGGCCCCTGCGGGAGAAGTCAGGGCACAGCAGTGTGTGCTTCTTCTTGCACTGGGGGGAGAAGAGGTGCAGCTGGGGGAGCCCGTCAAGGCCCCTGCCCCGTGTGGGCGGGCCCTGCCTGCTCTGCCCCCCCGGGGCTCAGGCCCCCAGGCCAGAGCAGCCTGCATTGCCAACCATCCAAGGCCCCGAGCCATCAGAAGCATGAGGGCCAGCACCCTGGGCCTGGACGGAAGGCAGGGACCGAGGCTGGCCTGGGGGTCTCGCTCGGCTGGGTTGGGGATTCCTGGGGCACTAATCCCCCCACCTGACTGCAGAAGATGGGGATTTGCGGGGAGGCTCAATGCCTGGGGGGCCTTACTGCATGGGGTTTAGGCTACAAGCCCAGGGGTGCCCAGGTCGGCCGAGGCCAGCGCACACCCGATCCACCACACCTGTCATGGTGGCTAATTATACCCAGTTTGGGGCGCGCCATCCAGCAGGTGCTCGGGGCAACACGAGGCCTCAGCTCTGCCCACCAGGCCCACAGGGAACCATGAAGCTCTGACCATGGCCTGCCTTTCCTTGGCCCACCCGCTTCCAGGGGCAGGAGCCATCGGGAGTGATGGGCCCAACTCTCCAGGCCTGCTCTGCACCTACTTCCTGCTTGAGGCCCTTCCAGGGGAGGGGTGTTCTGATCTCTACCCGCCCCTGCAGCTGGCTTAGTGGGCATGACCTGGGAGAGTCGGAATGTAGCAACTGCCCCTCATGTTGACCAGGAGACAGGAGAGACACAGTCCCGAACAAGTAGTGCTGCAGAGTTCCTGCCAATCCCACCCAGAACGGAGGGGAAAACCAGCCTGGGCTGCAGCGCTCACAGCCAGCACGGGGGGGCCTGCACTGGCTGAACTGCTTGGAAATATGTGGCTGCGGCCTCGAAGCCACCACCTGCTGGGCCCGAAACCTCCCTCCTGGGAGCCGGTCCCCAGGGCCCCGGTCTTGGCCCTGCTCCCAGCACGCAGCATGAAGAGCCTGGCTGAGGACCCCACAGAGCGTGTGCCCACTCTTGGAGCAGAATCTGGGCACCAGTCCCATTCTTGGCCTCACACCTGCCCCCCAGCAGGGGGAAGCCCCTCACCCCAGTGCTTGGGGGCTGCTGTGCAGATGGGAGCAGGCTGGAACTGGCAGAGCCATCTGGGCAGGCTGTAGGAGCCCTGAACACCCACGGCACCCCTGTCAGCTTGTCCCTGTGGTGGGGCCGCACCCACCCCTGCCCCACGAGAAAGCTAATGCTTGCTCACTCGCTCATTCCCCATGCCCTCCACACCAAGTTGAAGCCTCGTGAGGCCCGCTCTAAGAGCAGGAGAGTCCAGAGGGTGGGGTCTGCTGGGGAGGGAGGGCAACTGTGCGGGGGTCGGGGGGTGGAGGGGACAGGAAGGGTCTCTGCATGGAGAGGGCCTGGCACCGGACAAGAGAAGCTATTTCCCTGGATGCCGAGTGCACACAGAGAGGCGGCCAGAGGGGCCAGGACCTGCGCTGTCCTGGGCAGTGGCCACAAGCCACGCGGCCACCCTGAGCCTGGGCGGCAGCATGCATCCACCACATCAAAGGAGGCTGGGCTCAGCAAGAAGGAAGAACGTAGAAGGCCACAGTTACGTTTCCTCCCTGACTGCATGTGGAAATGTGTGGCAGATTAAAATTCATTTTACCACTTCTGTTTTTGCTTTTTAAGGTGGCTACTAGAACACTTAAAATCTCCCATGTGGCTCATATCCGGTGGACCTTCCTACTGGGCAGTTCTGGTCTGAGCTATGACCCTCCTCCCTAGGACAACCACACATCCAGAGTCAGATGTAAAGAATGTTCTCGAATCATCCAAGAGCTTTCAAGAAGGTACAACGATGGCAGACGGCTACTTTCAGAAGCATACTGGACACAAACTGAGTCTCCAGTTCCAAGGCCTCACATCTTCACGTAGACTAGGCCCTCTGAGGAAAGAGCAAAGTCAAACCACCAAACAGAAGCCCCAGAAAACCCCCCAAACACCTGGAAATTAGCACAGACACTACTAAATAATTGCTAGGTCAAACAAGAACCAACGGAGAGAAGTCCTCAGGCTCTGCTAGCGGAGCGGACCGGCTCAGCAGGTGGGGGAACAGCAGAATGACCCACACCAAGCAGAGGAAAATACAAGGCAAGAACAGAAACAAATGAAATGACAAAAGAACAGCAAAAACCAAGAGGGCAAAGAGTTGGTTCTTTGAAGATACTAGTAACTGTGTCTGATAAGACGAATCAGGAAATAAAGAGGGACACAAGCGTTAGGAAGGACAAATGTGCCCTGACTGTTGGCACTGTGGAGAAACAGCCACCAGGGCAACGTAACCAACAACTTTAATGCCAACGAACCTGAAAGCACAGATGAAACTGACAAATTCTAGAAACACCTGTCAACAAGAAAAACAAAACCCGAGTGAATATTCCTCTGACCATAAATGCATGTGAATCAGTAGTTCAGAAACAAAGCAAGCTGCAGCCCAGGGTCTTCCTGAGGTTCCAGCACACGTCCAGTAAGCCGGCCTTGTAGGAAGCGGTCCACGGCCGGGGGCAGAGAGGACACTCCTCAACTCCGTTCCAGGGCTGGAGCAACCCTGAGAGCAAAACCTGAGCAGATGAGACCACAGAAGAGCACTCGGGCCGTTTTCAGTCACGCCTACATGAGGTGTGAGAGTCCCACAGGGCGAGGGGACACAACTGCACCAGGACGAGGCTGGGCTCCCTCAGGAATGCAAGGTTGGTTTAACTGAGAAAATCAACAAACAAATCAGCACACTGACAGACTACATGGGTGGAATCATACCATCACCTCAATGGACACAAAAAGTGTTTAATTCAGCATTAATTCAAAGGTTAGCAGATTATTAATTGAATGGAACTTCCTTAGTTTAATATAAAGGGTTTCTTTTTCTTTAAAAGATTTATTTATTTATTTTAGAGAGAGTGTGAGTGGGGGGAGGGGGGGAAGAAGCAGAGGCAGAGGGAGACAAGCAGACTTGGGCCTTGATCCCAGGACCCTGACCTGAGATCACGACCTGAGCCAAAACCAAGAGTCGGACACTCAACCAAGTGAGGCACCAGGTGCCCCAATATAACGGGTTTCTTAACCTTCCAGAAAGCATCACTCACAGTGGGGAAAGGTGGGAAGCCCACTACCATCACTACTTAGCGCTGTGCTGGGGCCACAGCTGGGGCAGCAGCAAGAAAAGACAGAGAAAACACATCTAAGCTCAAAGGAGGAGAAACGGCCATTATCTGCAAAAGATACATTTCTGTTTATGTAGCAAACTGGAGAGTCTGTGGATAAACTGTAGCAATCACTAATACAGTTTAGCAAGGTTCCTGGAGACAAAATCAGTATAAAGAATTGCATGTCCATACACCAATGAGCAGTGAGAAAATAAAATTTTGAAATACGTTATTTATAATAATAATAAAAATGACAGGAACAAATCTCATGGAGACAAAGAAGAACTTCAGTAAAAGGCATCGGAGGGGTGGCCTGGATAAGCAGAGTCAGATGCCCGCTCACCGTCAGAAAGACTCCCTGGAGAGATAGGGACCAATTCTCACCAAACAGAGACCACGACTCAGGACAATCTCAATCAAATTTCCAACTTTTTAAAAAAGTTACATTGGATCTAAAATACAGTTCTGGGGGGCGCCTGGGCGGCTCAGTCGTTAAGCGTCTGCCTTCAGCTCAGGTCATGATCCCAGAGTCCTGGGAACGAGCCCCACATCGGGCTCCCTGCTGAGCGGGGAGCCCACTTCTCCCTCTCCCTCGCTCCCCCTGCTTGTGTTCCTGCTCTCACTGTCAAATAAAATCTTAAAAAATAAATAAAAATAAAATAAAATATAGTTCTGGAAGGATAAAGGGCAAAACAGCTGTGAAGAAGAACAAGGTGAAAAAATTTATTATTAGGAATTATCATGAAGCTCAAGGAATCCGGCAAGCACGGAACCGGCTCAAGGATACACACAGAACAGAACCGAGAGCCCCGACACAGAGCCACGTCCATGAACCCCACGGGAAATGGGCCTTCCAATGCAAGGTGCTTGGGCAAAATGAAACTGGACCCTGATCTAACATCAGACACTTAGATCAAAGGAGACAGGCCCACGAGTGAAAGGCCAGCCTACGGGGCTTTTGGAAGGCCCTCCAAACTTTTGGAATGTGGCAGGATTTTTCATACAAGTTTACACAAAGGTGCAAGCTGTAAAGAAAGATTGATAAAATAATTTCCATTAAAATTAAGAACTTCTGTTCTTCAAAAATAACACCACAAAGAAGGGAAAAAATAAACCACAAAGAAGATATCTGCCACTTATATGACTGACAAAAGGCTGATGTCCAGAATAGTTTATGTATTTTTATATTCATATTTTATACTTATAAATTCCCTGTGAATCAGCAAGAGAAAACCAACCTAGTGGAAAACTGTCCCCACTCTCACCTAAAGAAACCAACAAAACCCCAGGTATTTTTCAGAAGGAAAGGCCCAAAAGGTTTAAACACAGGGAAGGCATTTGGCCTCATGAAGTCCAGTAAAGGCAAATTAAAAAAAATATAGTGAAGTAACTTTTTGTCCTTCAATTGTTCAAAGAGAAAAAAAGAGGCTGAATGTCACCAAGTGCTGGCAAGAAAACTGGTCCACAAGTGTGAACGGGCATAAGCCACCTGAAAACTGCCTCCAGCGTCTACGAAAGCAGACTGTCACCCCCCAGACCGGTGGCCTGCACCTTGCTAAAGACACGTGCTAATGCCCTGATCCCCACAGGCCCTCAGTGGAGCCCAAGATGCCAGCCTGCCCTCCATGAAGCACCAACCAGAGGGGTGAGGCCACGAGAGGCCAGGACCAACTGCAATGCCCACCTGTGCTTGCCCCCACAGCCACCGGGGCTCCCACGGTCCCACTTCCTTCCCAGGGCCCTTTCTCCACTGGCTGCTGGCTCCAGGCCAGCCAGTCTGCCAGGACTCAGGCGGGCCGTCTGCCTTTCCACAGTGCTCTCTCTTCCTT